TTCTCCTCTTTCTGTGTATTCAATTTAATTCATTTATTAAGCCAGCTTCTGCTGCTGGCCCAGGATACATGTTCTACAGATCTTTACAGGTGAAATGCAATTACAATCCCCCACAAAGCTAAAGGGCATTTTTTTTCACAGTCTTTGGATACTGGGAAATAGATACCTGAATTCAAACAGGTTTAAATACACCTAGTTTTCTTTCTCCTGTCCGTGTCCTGTTTGCCATACTAATGCCGTATTAGAATACCCTCAAACCAACACCAGGTGCTGTTATCAGCGTGTTAAAATATTTTTGTTAAAATGCACATGAAATGGCTCATTTTAGCTGCTGAAGTAAAGGGCACTGATATTATTCTGGCGAGCTTAAATGCCTATGAATCTCTGCCCCGTCCCAAGTCACTGGTTTTCCATATTCGGTGCACTTCCCTGTGCAAGGCACCCAATATTTTTATCACCCTTCCTCTATCTAACCTGAAGCTTTCAAATTTCAGGGGCTGTGATGTTCTTGTGAAGCATTTGACAAGTAGGAGAACAACTCCCTGAAAGATGCGGCGGGTCAAGAGAAACCTCTGCACGACTGACTGCACTCACCTTGTTCGTTCCAGCTCTGTGGAGCCTTCCCAAGGAGCCCAGTTTATGTCTTACCCGCAAAGGGCCACGTGAGAACAGATCTGTGTTCAGCGCTTTCCGAGCCTTTCGTGGAGTGCAGCGGAGAGTGAGTACGGTGGTGCTGGCATTCCCAGGTTAGTTTCGGACCGGTCTGCTCAAAAGGCATGTGTATGTAAGTGTGTATTGTCTGTGTACACAAATACACGTATCGGCTCACGTGCATGCTCCTACTAGGGAAAGAAAGTCCAGGCAGTGAAATAATCACAAGAGAGAGATTTGTTCCTGTGCGTTACTAGGAATTGGAGTAAACATTATGCCTGTGGTCTCTGTCAGTTCTGTCCTGGATGGTTCCGTTAGCTAAAATATATCTGTTGTCAGCGCTATCATAAGATAAAATCTATGGTTTTAACTTAAAATGGGATGGGATATTGCCTGGAATGTTTTCTCATATAGACAGCGTTAGCTGAGTCCTTCCTTGGCAAGAAGTTCAGTCTGAAGACAGTTCTCAAATGGTTTCAGCAGCTTAGTTTGCAATGCATCTGGAAGGAGAGCTTCATTGTCCTTGTGGGGAATTCCCTCTCCCCGATCCTTCAAACTCATGCTGGACCATGAAGTCTCTTTCAGCTACTATGAGCAGTTCAGGGACTCAGTTACAGAATTACCTGGTTACTACAGGCGTTAGTGCACTAATCTGTGCCTAGAGGAGCCACGTGCACCGTGTCACCCACATGGCCTTTGCTGATGGCTGAAGTGTGGGATGCTGTGGGTGCAGAGCTCCCCGAGCCCTTGCGTCCATGAGCTGCGGCGGGTGAAGCCACCGCTGTGAGCCACGGCCCTGCGGCATATGGGGATAGATGAAACCTTCCGCGACCTATAAAGTGCACCTAAAAATAGACCACACAGAAGAGCTATGGCACAAATTTCAGAGGCTTTACCGGGGTTTTGCCTATTTTCTGAGAGACCAGCGCTCGTAAAGCAGTGTTGAGAGGGCATTATACCGAGGAAGCAAGCAGTAAATTTGTAGGTTTACCTCTAACAGCTGGTCTGGGAGGGACCAGCCATTAGGACAGAGAAGGAGGAATGTGGGCTGGGGGAGTGAAAGGGAGATTGTAATAATACTCGTAATTAAAATGCTGCATTCTAGCTGGTGGGGAAAGCAGTGTTGCGGATTTCTGGAAGAAATCTGATTCCAAGAAGTGCAAGAGGCCACGAGTGAAAATTCCTTCATAAGCAGGAAGTGAGAGAGGGAACTAGAAGGAAATATTCTGTTTATTTTGGCCATCATTCTAAAAAACCTGGGGTAAAAGCAAAGAGAAATGGGAGAAAGAATATTGATAAACGATGTGTGAAAAGCACCGAGAATTTCTGGAACCTGAAAAGCCTAATTATGAATACGGGTAATTTATCCATGTGCTCTCCCAGACTGATCAATATTTTGCACGTTATTAGGCCTGGAAACTTGCGCGCTCTCTTTCAAACATACGGTAGTTTGCTGATTAATTGAGTGGCTTTTTCAGTAGTATGACCAGCTGCTATAAATGTTTTAGTAATTTTTTTGGCTTTAGAACTAAACTAAACAGGCCGTTTTCTTTTCTCTTTGTCCTTTTGGCTGGGCTGCATAGGAAAGCACATAGCCAATAAACCTGGATCTTGTTTCATATCCTGAATTTTCTTTTGAACGCATAATAACCCTAAACGTGTTGCTGTCTTTCTAAGCAGCTTCTCCCAAGATGCAGGAAATCGGTGTTTTGCTGTGTTTAGAAGTTCCTCTCATGTCATATTTTGCTTTATCCGTTACCCTCCTACAGGGTAACTCTTCATCAGGGTCTGTAGTAGTATGACAAGGGGTGATGGGTTCAAACCGTGAAGCACTGGGGATGCTCACCGGTTACAAGCCCAAGCCCTCCAAGGACCGTTCCCATTTAACACCGCTGTCTTTCGAGCTCTGTGCTGTATAGAAACGAGGGGCATTACAAGTGCATATTGCAGGTTATTGTTGAGAAGGTGAATGGAGAGATACTCAGGAGTCGGGAAGGCTGTGGGGCAAGGGGCACGCAGAATACTGCATCTTCTAAGGAGCTTGAGAATGGCTTGCAGCCATGGGAAAAGTGTTTGTCAAAAGCATCCCCAACTGTGGGATGGCATAATTCAAGTGTCAGACCTCGCCTTTCGCTCGGGTTTGGAAAGCTGAAGCCCATCCACATTTGTGCTTGATTCTTGCTGAGCCTGAAGATGTTGCTGGGCTGAAGAATGTTGTTGTGTAGTTTCCATTGTCAGCTGTCACACTGCATATGTTTTGGGGCTGATCTGAAGTTTTGTTTGACATCATGACTTTTATACGAATCAAACCCCCCAAATCCCTCAGATGAAATCCATATGGCTTTGTTCACAGGCTGAAATAAAATCTTGCTCACAGCCTTTACTGCAACTGAGGGATATTTGGTGGGAGTCGGGTTTTGCTTAATAAAAGCATAACGTTCAGATGCTGGAAATGTGGATATTATTAAGTACCTGCTCTGTGAGAATAACTCAAATGCTGTTTTATTCCCTGCCCCTTTTGTTAGTTCATATGCACAAGAGTCAGATCTGAGGCTGATGTGAAGAGCGATCTCCGCAGCCTGGCATGGACCCAGCTTCACTTGATCTCTGTTTTAGGCATTATTGGGTTTTTGTCTGCATTTTGGCTCCTTGCAGCTCGGTGCTGAACATTTGGCATAATGTGTGGTAAGGGTTATTACGATACACAGAGGTGAGGTAATTCACATCGTTTCTGCAGTGTAGGCAACTTTGCTTGGCTGCTAGAGCAGTTAAAGCAGGAAGCTTCCCGGTGTGCCGAGATGCTGATTACTAAGGGTCAGGCCTGCGCTCACCGTGACATCATAAAACACAAGCAGGGGCTGATTAAGTTAAGAACTGCCATGTCACTGGTTTTGTCAGGAGGAAAACAGAGGACAGAGAAGGTGAGGGGGGGCGAGACGGCTTTCACAGCACGAGGGCTGTGTTGGAGAAGGGAGCATGGACAGGTCCTTTGCCAACGGTACAAGAAGTCCTTGAGTTACTCATGGGTACAGAGTGGTTCTTCCCTCCTTTCGCCCAGTCATTTCTGAAATGAAGAAAACCTTCATTGCAGGTCTGGTGTAAGAGGGATATTCAGGCCCCTTTAGCTGTTCCTTCTGTGGAAAACAGTGTGATATTTGTCTGCACACTGGAAGCACTGCAGTCCCTTCTTTTGGTACGGCACTGAGTGAGAAATCCTTGCCAGGATGCCTTCCAGAGCCAGCCGTGGGCGAGCGATGTTTCCACTGTCCCACCGTGGGCGTTCCGTGCCACCTCCTCCCATTCATTGTCCAGGATGTGGTCTGTGGATTGGAGCAAGCATTCCCAGACTGCTGGAATAAATACGCTGAACCCTGGTTCACCAAGGTGTGCCAAACTGGCATATAGGTGGTGTTAACTAGATCAGCTCTGTGCTAACTTCCCATAGAAATAAATTCCTCCCTCTCCTCCCAAAAATCGTGTTTGGTTCCTGAAGATCCTCTCACAAGACACATAAAAACTACTTTGTCAAGGAAATCCATATGACCTATGCACCGTAAAAGCACTAGAAACTCCCCTTCTTCATGAGACTGTAGCATGAGCAAGGGAGTATGTTTATACATGGACAAGGCAAGTCTCCACACTGATAGGGTAACATCTCAGCCTTTCCATACAGCCAGTTGTAACAACATGTGCTTGGTATAGCCAACATCCCACTTGAAGATTGTTTTCCTGACTTGAAGCACTGTATTTCAGCTTGATCTCTTTAGTGTATCACATGGACAGTGGATCTCTGGTTCTTATGCCAAAGAGTACGCAGTGTTTGGTTTGATACCCTGTTGCCTAAGATACTTCCCTAGTTTTACTGCTTCCTTTATGTGGCTGTGTCAGCCAGGTTTCAGATGGGAAGTAGGACTTGCAGCAGGCAGGTGGTAGTGTTATGAAGGGTGGGTTAGACACAGGCAGCCTCACTGATTTCCTTGAAGACCTCCCCAGTTTGGGGCTATAAATGCAGAGAAGGGTACTCCAGCTTCCTGCTCTCGATCAGGAGACTCCAGAGCCCCTCATTTCCACAGCAATCTGCAAGCAGCCTCTGCTGAAGGTCTTGCTGGGGTTACGCCCCTGAGACCCCACAGGCATTAGAAGGGAGGAAATAAACACCAACTGATTGCAGGTGTGGACAAAGCTCCGGGTTGTTCAAGGACATGGGAGTTCTCTGGGGCACTTTGGAGGCAGCAGCCCTGCAGGTCCTGAGTACTTAATTAAGTCATTCATTAGCTTCCAGTGGGGTTTTTTTACAAGCTATATAGGTCCCACCATGCCTTTCACCCTCTTTTCTTGCTTCTCTCTCTCCCAAGACTTGGATGAGCTTCCTGCATCTATGGGTGAGTAGCTCTGAAAGATGGGTCAAGACCCATTGGGGATTTTACAGAACCTCGGGAGAAGTGCAGAGGAAAACCAGTGTTGGCAGTATCAGGAGTAAGCGATGTCCTCCGGAAGGCTTTGGTTATCTGTTAAGAATCAAGCAGTTTTACTGTGTATTTGTTTAAGACTTGAGTGGCAGCTGTGTAGCCTGGTACTTTCAGTAAGTAGCTCTGCTGAAATGAATGTGTTCATGAAATCTGGTAGCAAAGATCTTCCAAAGAACAAGTTTTAACTGGGTTTAACTGGGAGGAGAGTGTTGAGGAGCTGAGTGAAAAAATAATTCCCCTTAAAATGGACTTATAAACCACTCTTGAATTCACCTGCCTACGTTGAAGTTAAGATCCTGCTTCAAGGTGATAAGGGCTTGTACCAAACATATCTCTTATCCATAGAATGCTGCCATATCTAGGTAAAGGCAGTGGGCATAACAACTTGTTGTTCCTTTTGAACAAATAGCCTAGGTACTCTATAAATAAGTAGAAGCATTTTGATGGTAAGAGTGCACTGTTACCTTTGAATGCTGTTACCCATGGGGATGCTGGGGAATAGTTTCCATTCTGTGTTGTGTGCAGCAAAGAGACTGTTAGGGAGGCACTAGAATCTGTTGTTCCCTTCTGTTACGTGTGATGATGACATGAGTGAGGCAAGGAAACAAACGCCTGGGGTGTGCGTTTCCCTTTGGCTGCACTCCTTAGGTGTAGGAGAGATGGCTCTGTCCAGAATCCATTCTGTCAGCCTGTCACATTGCCATTTGCACTCAGGTCTTACAGTCAGGCAACAACAGAATAGTTAGTGTTGGAAAGGGCCTTAAGATCGTTCAGTTCCAACCCACTGCCACAGGCAGGGATGCCTCATGCTAGACCATGCTGCCCAAGGCTTTGTGCAGCCTGGCCTTGAACACTGCCAGGGATGGGGCAGCCACAGCTTCTCTGGGCACCCTGTGCCAGTGCCTCAGCACCCTCACAGGGAAGAGCTTCTGCCTTAGATCTGACCTGAACTTGCCCTGTTTCAGTCTGAACCCATCACCCCTTGTCCTATGGCTGCAGTCCCTGATGAAGAGTCCCTCTCCAGCATCCTCGTAGCGCCCTTCAGACACTGGAAGGTTGCTTAGCTCCTTTGCTCTGTTTAAATATGGTTGTAAAAAGAAAAAAATAGCTTGTTCTATTTGTAGCAGGAAAGAAGGGGAGAACAATGACCTTTTCTTATACATTCTGAAAACTCTGTGCACTGCTCAGGGCAGTTCCCACCTCTGCATCAAGGGGAAGCTCTGGCTTGAGGAAGGAGTAGGTAATTGAAGTCAGTGGGAACCCCAGATGCTATGCCTTGCAAATCAGAACCTAGCTGTCCCTAGTGTTCTCTCTTTTTGATTTGAGAAATATTTAGGCCTTGTCAGATTTGTTTCATTAAAAACAGGGAAAAAAAAACACCAAATCCCAAACTGCATAATTCAAACATTCCTCCTTGTTGCAATCCCGTGTTTTTATGGGGAGCACATGGGAAGTTCTGTGTTTCTGCAGCAGGTGGGTTATTGTTGTTATTGTGGTTATTGTTGTCCCAGAAATGAAAGGCTGCTTTAGCAGGATACCCTGCTCAAGACAGCACTTGCTTTTACCCTCATTCAGGGTTGGAGGACCAAGAGGTAAACTGTGAGCCATCAGCAGCCAGAGGGTTGTGGCTGGTTTCGGCTGCAGCCCTCCCCTTGCTCCTTCCCCAGGGCTGCTGTAGGCTAGCAACAGAGCCAAGGTAGGTAAAATCCTGCTGATAGCGTGGTAGAGGCTAAAATCATCCCCCTCTCCTTTTATTGAAGGAGTACAGATGCACAGGGACTGGTCCTTGCTTGAGCAAATATTGCCATGTTGAGTGATAAGGCAAGGTTCTTGCTTATCAGACTATTAAAGAATTTCATGTCTTCAAACAGAATACACCCTTGGAATCTGTGTTTGGGCCAGACAGAGAAAGGCTTGCGTAAAAATCTCGTTCCTCTGTGTTTCTGTGCATTTTCTGTTGGCAAGCATGTATTTAGTGGAGAATATATAAGGGGCCTCCCTGGGCCAAGAAAAAGAAATTCTGTCTTAATTAACATTAGTCGCTCAAAAAAGAATGGTGAAGGACAAAAGTTACTCGATTTTAGCAGTCCCTGGGACAGCCTGTGTATAAATCACTGTATTTTTCTTAAATTCACGGCCTTTGTTTCAGGGCTTAGCTGTAGAGTAGTGCAGCCAGAGAAGTGCTCCCTGGATATCAATGAGATGAGGAATTTTCTGTCACAGAATCAAGCAGGTTGGAAAAGACCTTTACGATCATTAAGTCCAACCATTCCCCAGCACTGCCAAGGCCACCAGTAACCCAGGGCACCGAGGGCCTCATCTGCATGGTGTGTGAACACCTGCAGGGACGGTGACTGCAGCCCTGCCTTGGGCAGCCTGTTCCAATTGCCTTGTTGAACCTCATCCCGTTGGCCACAGCCCATAGATCCATCCTGCCCAGATCCCTCTGCAGAGCTTCCCTATCCTCCAGCCCATCAACGCTCCCACCCAGCTTGCGGCTGGCTGCAGATTTACTGAGGGTGCCCTCAATCCCCTCATCCAGATCACCGATGAAGATATTAAGCAGCACTGCCCCTAATTGCAAGCCCCGAGTGACGCCGCTGGTGGCTGGTTGCCAACTAGGTGTGACACCATTCACCACCACAGTTTGGGCTCTGCCATTGAGCCGCTTCCAATCCTGCCTGTCAGATGTGAAAATCTTCTAAAGGACTTGTGTTAGTCCCTGCTGTCCCCCCTTTTGACTGTAACTAGTCTAAATCTTGGGCTCCTAAGCTTTGCGCTTGCAGTGACATTCATTTGCAGTATCACACTGAAAGGTAGAGAAAGAATTGCAGAAGGCCAAAAACTGGCAAACTCACTGACCAGATGGTGACTCGAGTCGGTGGTGACCCTTGGTTGTCTGAAAGCAGAAGCTCAGAAATACAAGAGGACTTTTTCAGTCTTGATCAGTGGTGTGTGCAAACCCTGTTTATTTAAATAGCAGCCAATAGTTTAGTGTTCATCATTCAAAGGGAGCTTCTTGTACCTCCCCCCCCCCGGTTCATGCTTGCTTTCTGACCCTACTGCTCAAATAAACTGCAGGGTTTGTTGCTCTTTGCATCCCAGCAGTTGACGTTCTAATGCCAATCTTACTGACCTCAGATCAGATAAATACTCTCCTGGGAAGTTTTAAGCTATTTGCTGACACGCAGTTGGATTGAGAAGGGCACAATTTTGCGCAAAAGTAGAGATGTTCCTATCCGTGGAAGATCTTTGACCCTTGGTCTTTGCCCTGCAAGGTTGAAGGAGCCTTTTTGCAGGGTGTATATAAATGGTTTAGCAGCTTTCTTCTCATGAAGAAGCCTAAAAGAACCTCCTTCGGCATTGTGCTCATAGAAAACACTATGAAACATAGAAAATTGGACCTCTTGCTTCCAATTCTCACAGCGCATTAAAACTGTAGAGGCAGGGACTGTGGAGCTGAGAGAACTTCACGCATTTCAGAAAGCATCTAGGTGTGGTTGGGAGTGAGCAGTGCTGCACCAAGGAAAAGCTGCTTTTCTTGTCCAAAAAGAGTTCTTGGGTGGACTGGGCGGAGAGCATCTCTGGAGTTGAAATTCATGTGCTTCAGTATAATTCTTCTTTCTGCCTCCTTCCACTCTTACTTCAGGGCTTTCTTGGAGAGCCTTTCTACTGATCTGAATTAAAGCAGTATTATTTTATACTCACAGGGATACTTGCCTGTTTTACGTCTCTGGCTGAACGTTAGAAAGCTGCATTTCTGCTTTTTCTTCTCTCTTGCTGTATATATGTGAGTGCCAGATTTATTAGTTCTAGTTCTCCCAATGCTGGAAAATGAATTTGCTTCAAATTATAGCTGTTTGAGTGAGACCAGTGCACAAATGAAACCCATTACTGTACACCTACAATAGGGCCAAACCTCTGATCTCAGTTTCACTTTTGTAAATGAAGAGTCGACTCTAATAACTTCAGTCGAATCACTCTGGATTTACACCAGAGGAGCAGAAATCAGAATCTGGATGTCCATGTTTAGTCTGGGAAGCATTTTCAGATTCTTGTGGATGAAAGATACTAAAAGTGTATGTTGTTATTATGTTATTCCTTTCCCATATCCCACTTCACATCATAGGACTGACCATATATCCTAGGATGGTTCAACCCACACTTGTCCTAAATGTTACCCCTTTAATTTGATGATTATAGCTTTTTCATGTCATAACTCTGCAGTTAAGGTTAAGCAATCATTTTGATTTGAAGCCATTCTCTTCAGTAGCGTCCTGGGAAACGCGAATGAAACCTATTCCACTGGTTTTTTGGATATGGGAAGCTAATCGTTCTCCCATTTTTAATTTATCCAGCCTTTTCTTGCCAGCAGTTTACTTGAAAGCTGCTTAATGCACAGTCTGCAAACTTGGCGTGGACATCTGAGGGATAATTTTGTATACGTTAAACCTTTGTTAATAACCGTCCCAAGCGAACTGCAAGAGGAGAAACTGCTGGTTTAATGTATATTAAATATAACAAACAACTAGTGGAGCAGAAGATCTTTGGAAAGATAAAAAGCGAGGCTGAACTCATAGTACTTACTATTGTGCAATCACACGAAGCTATCTCCTCGGAGAATTTTGGATGCTGAACACACAGCAACTGTCCTCAGGCTTGCCGCTTCTTTGTCTTGATCTGGCGAGTCATAAATGCATGTCTGAGAGCTCAAGCTTAAGAGTTTAATGACAATCTGACTCTTAAAGGTGGAATGGATGAAGAGGGGAATGTGGATGCAGGGAGCTATGGTTCTGGAGCAGACGCACCTGAGGCCAAGCCTAACCCCGTGGAGCCCTGTAGCTCTATGGGGAGCTGGAGCATGCGGTACATGGGGCCTCTGCCCCAGCTCCCACTGAAATCAGTGGGGAATG